TTTCAGGCTGAACATTTGAGGAAAAAGGTGACTCGTTTCGAGGATGAAAATGAGTCTTTGATGATGCAGTTGAAAAAAATGGCAACGCGCTCAAGAAGTACGATCAAAATTGTTCGAAAAATACAAATACCTTATATTAACATTTACTAATTGATAGAATTAAATGTAAAAATCAAATCGATTTAGTTGGTGTAGAGCGTGTAATTTCGTAAAGAAAAACAATTCATGGACTCGTAATATTCCAATTAAATCGATTTGTCATATATATATATATAAATCCCACTTAACAAAAATTCTTTCGAACTAACGATATTTCTCATGCGCTTTTTAACGAATGATTCAAAAGTAATTTGCCATTTTTTGCGGCTGCTCATGGAATGTGACTAACTGCGCCTAAATCCAGCTATTAAACATTGTAACTAAACGCTTCGTAGCCTGGCATGCTATTAAGTAACATCCCCTTTCTATGGGTATTTTCTTGTGCATAAATTCCTAACTCACTTTTGTTATACACAGCTCGCAAATTGAGCCCGGCGCCGCATCCACATCGACTGGCGCCCGAGGTGCATGCCGACCGTGATGAGGGCATCTCCGATGAGGATGATCCCGCGGAGCTGCGCATACTGCTCGAGCTGAACGAGCAGGAGGCCTCCATACTGCGTCTCAAGGTGGAGGATCTGGAGAAGGAGAATGCCGAGTCCAAGAAATATGTGCGCGAATTGCAGGCCAAGCTGCGTCAGGATAACAGCAATGGCAGCAAGGGCTCGCTGCTCAGTTTCGGCAGCTCCTCCAGCGCAGCAGAGAAGAAGCTAAAGACACTCAACGACGAGCTAACCCAGCTGCGCAAGAGCCTGCAGGAGAAGGAGCAGAGTGTGGAGAATATGCGCGCCCAGCTGGCCAGGCTGACCACGCTGGAGACCGAGAACGAGAAGCTGACCAAGGAGAACAAGCGTCTGCAGACGCTGCGCAAGACTAGCTCCACGGAAAAGAGCAGCGAAGCGGAACTGCCCAAGCTCAAGGAGGCACTGGCCCAGGTTCAAAAGGAACGCGACGAACTGACAGCCCGGGTGAAGCGAATGCAAGTGGAGGCCGAGGGCAAGTTGCCAGCGCGAACGCCCAAACGTGTCAACGATCTGACGCCCAAGAGTCATCTGAAGAAGTGGGTGGAGGAGCTGGAGGATGAGATCTGCGAAATGCGCGTGCAGCTGGGCAGCAGCGGTGTCAGCCAGCTGAAAAAGCTGCAAACGAGCAAGGAATCTCTAGAGGAGGAACTGCAGAAGTGCAAGCAAAAGCTCGCGCTGGCCGAGGGCGATGTGCAGCGCTTGAAACTGTTAAATGGCAGCAGCAGCAAGGCCAAGGAGCTGGAGCAGAAGCTCAAGAGCAGCGAGGAGGAGGCCAAGAAACTAAGCACAAAACTCAAGGACTTGGAGGATAAGCTTAAGAAACAGGAGAGCCAGCTGAAGCAGACGGAAGCCAGCAAAGCCACGCTGGAGATGCTCAACAAGCGCGAAAAGGAGAAACTGTCCAGCTTAGAAAAGGACCTGGAGAAGCAAGCCAAAGAACGCGAAAAGCTCGAAGCCAAGCTTAGCCAACTGGACAGCGAGCTGCTCGGTGCCAAGAAGGCGGCAGAGAAAACGAAAACATCGCTTGAGAAGGACATCAAGGACCTCAAAACAAAAGCCAGCAAATCGGACAGCAAACAGGTGCAGGAGCTAAAGAAGCAGCTGGAGGAGGCCCAAGCCACGCTCAGCGGCGAGCAAAAGCGCTACGAGGAGCTGAACACACACTGGGAGAAGCTCTCCGAGGAAACCATACTCATGCGTGCTCAGCTTACGACGGAGAAGCAAACTCTGCAGGCCGAACTGAATGCCAGCAAATACAAACTGGCCGACATGGACACCATACGCATTGAGCGCACGGACATGGCGCGCAAGCTGAACGAAGCCCAGAAGAAGATCAAAGAGCTTGAGGTGAAGACCCTCAAGACGGGCGGCAGCAGCGATCACGAGCGCACCATGCTGAAGAACAAGCTGGCCGAGAAGGAGCACGAGTACGAACGTCTGCGTCGCGAGAACGAAATGAACATCGACTTGGTGTTCCAGCTGCGCAAGGACAACGATGATCTGAACAGCAAACTCAGCGACTTCAATCGCATCGAGCAGGCTCAATCCTCGCTAAACGGACACGGTGCCAGACGCGAGGCGGAGATCAGGGAACTAAAGGAACAGTAAGTCGCTAGACCTAGGTAGGATTAGGACAAGTTCATAGCAAGTCTTTTGGTTGGGTTAAAATAATGTTGGGTTATACGATATCGTAGATAATAATTGTAATTGTCCTGATCCAATAGATATATACTATATATATACATACCTGTAACTCACCTGTAATACTTCTTGCAGATTGCAAGCCTCTGAGCTGCAGCTTAAGTCCGAAGTGGCCTCCACGCGCTTGCGCTATGAGCAGCAGGTGAAGAATCTCAGTGGGGAACTCACCTCCATGCAGGTAAGCTCTGAGGTAATTGCTATAGAGATCAGCTAGTTGTATGTTGATTTAATTGCAGCGCCAATGCGAGCGCTTCAAGAAAGACAGAGATGCCTTCAAGCAGATGCTCGAGCTGGCGCAGAAGAAGATTGGCGATCTGAAAGCCAACAATACGGGCCGCCAGAGTCGCAGCTCGATGCACAGCAGCGACGACGATGACAAGAGCAAAATTGCTTACCTGGAACAACAGGTAAAATTAACTGCTTGCATGTTAGTTAAAGCTGAGGAACTTACCAAGTGTCTCTTGCAGATTGGGCATCTGGAAGATCAGCTAGTCGAGTCGCGTCTGGAGTCCAGCAAGGTCAAGACGGAGCTTGTCTCCGAGCGCAGTGCCAATGAAATTAAAATTTCGGAGATGCAGTCGAAGCTGAACGAGTTTGAGGAGGAGCGTGTCATTGGCTCGGGCAGCACAAAGCTGCCCGGCATGAAAACCAAGCTGGAACTGTCCTGGCAAAAGGAGCGCGAGGATCAGCAACGCCTGCTGCAAGAGACATCCACATTGGCGCGTGATCTGCGCCAAACCCTCTTCGAGGTGGAACGTGAACGCGACAAGGAGCGACTCGAGTCCAAGCGCAAGCTCGATCAAACCAAGCGTGCGACTGAAGAGGAAATGGAGGAGGGCCGTAAAAAGATAGCCGAACTTCAGTGCGATCTCCTAGAGCTGCGGGACGTACATGCCAAGCTGCGCACCTCAAACGAAAAGCTACGCAGGGAGGTAAGCATGACCCTCAATAGACATCGTCAGCAGTTTGAAAAGACGATTATGGTTTCTTAATTGTCACCCTAAAGAGTATTCTGAAGAAAGTTGAGTCTTCTTAATATAGATACGATAAAGATACAGATACAGATACAGATACAGATACAGATACCGATACAGATACAGCTACAGATACAGATACAGATACAGATACAGATACAGATACAGGTATAGATACAGATACAGATACAGATACAGATACAGATACAGATACAGATACAGATACAGATACAGATACAGATACACATACAGATACAGATACAGATACAGCTACAGATACAGATACAGATACAGCTACAGATACAGATACAGATACAGATACAGATACAGATACAGATACAGATACAGCTACAGATACAGATACAGATACAGATACAGATACAGATACAGATACAGATACAGATACAGATACAGATACAGATACATTGCGGAACAATGTAGTAGTACTTAGAAGGTGCCACTTGACTCAGTATTAGTGTAGGTTGGTCAAAAGGATTCCATGCCAGTCTAATGTGCGATAGACCGATAATCAAAGTAAGAGGTATTGCACTCTATAGTCTCTAATCCTTCCTAATAATCTTTTCAGCGCGAACGCTATGAGAAGGAGCTTATTAAGCGGCGTATGGAGCAGGATGGTGGTGAGCGCAAAGTGGGTGCACTGCTGCAGACTGTCGATGAGCTGGTCAAAATTGCGCCAGATCTGAAAATAGTTGGTGGCTCATCCGGACGCAGTTCGTCCTATGCCGACAATAAACTGCGTCCGGAGCAGGCGAACGTGCGTCGCAGTCGCAGTCCATCGCCAACGCTGAGCAGTGCCCAGATCGCCAATGTGCTGGCCCGTTTGGCGGAGGCCTCCGAGGAGCTGCGCAAGTTCCAGCGCCTAAATGAGGATGAACAGGAGCGCAGTCGCATACGTCGCGGCAATCTACGTCGCGCTGCCTCCCAGGAGAACGATCCGCACGGCAGCACCAGCTCCGTGGCCAGTGCGGCCGGTTCTCAGCGAGCCGCCCGTTTGTCCCGCAATTCGGCCAATAATGGCAGCCTGATACGCAAGAGTCTATCGCTGGATCACTCCATACAACGTGACCAGGTAAGCTGTGACCAAAAGTTAAGTGGGACTCCATTTAACCCACTTATTGCAGAATATTTGGCGTCAGGACGATGGCAGCGTATCATCCATGCAGTCCATTGACTCGGAGCTGGGCGGACTGGTGCGCGACTCCAGCTTAGATTCGCGTCTCGACTCGCGCCTGTCCGGCGGCTCCACCCAAAGCGACATACCACGCGGACCACGCAAAAAGAAGAAGGGTATCATGGGCAAGCTGCGCAGTCTGACCAAAAGCAGTCGCAATTCCGAGAGTGAAATATCGGTGGGTAGCGAACCAGAATCGTATCGAATATTAAAACCAAACATACTCTATTGTAGATTCAAGGATCCGATTCGGACATAAGCGTAGCTAGCGACATGAGATCCAGCAAGAAGGATCTGCGTGGTCGGCTGTCGGGCATGTTCAAGCGATCCGGCTCGAACTCACGCAGCGAGAGCAACGAGCGGGCCAGCTCTGAGCAAAGACCCGTTGCCGTCACCGTTGTTGGCCATCCGGATGGACCGCATCCACGCGATCCGCCGCCGGCAAATTCACTCACACCCAAGCCCATACGTTCGGCAAGTTGAACACATCAAATATGAACGACTTATTGCTAATATACCGCCTTTTTTTTGTTTTGTTTATTTTTGTACCATTTAGATAAAACCGCCAACCGGCACACCTACCACACCAACCCCAAGACGGCGCCAAGCCAAGTAGTCATCGAATTTTAAGGTTCATCATAGTTAGTACACTCACGCCTAGTCCACGCCTTGGTTTCCACTGGTTGTTGTTTGTCTGCGCATTTTTATACCAACTGCATTGGAACTTGAGCTTCACATCATCATTATTTTATTTTGTTCATTTCACTTGCAATTGTTCTTTGATTAATTTTGCTTGATTTCAAATTTTTCAATAAACATGTACATCTTTTTCAAAAAAACACAAAGACGTTTGCCATATTCCTTTTACAGCTCAGCGCTAAGTTGTCGACAGTTTGGAATCCTTGCAGGATATTGGAATATGCCAAGACACTTACATGCATAAAGACGAAACCCGCGGCTACCGTATATAGGACTATATGTCGGCACAAGAGAAAACCTCCGCCTGCGGGTGGTTCTTCGACACGGGCGAGGAAATATAATATGCTACTGCACAGAAAAAATAGAATGGCTTCCAACATTTTGTAGACTTTTTGACAAATTTTGTATTTCTGTATTTTCGGACCTACTCGATCTATAACTATTTTCTATGAACAAATTCCTATTTGTCATAGGATCGAAGATGCCTTGTGCAAATATTATTTTTGCAGTTCCCCAAATTGATGGGGGTAATAAAAACATACTAATTTCTTTTAGAAACCCCCAAACTCAGAATTTTAACTCTTATTTGGCAGTCCCCGACTTGGAGCATTGCGGTTTCAGAGGCTACTCAAATTTCTTAAGAGCTCTACTCTATTTTTATGGAGAATTTGAATATATATATTCGAAAATTCGAAATTCGAAAAAAGGGTATTCATCGAATTTCGAATTGATTCATTGTTATTCAAATTTCTTAAGAGCTCTTCTCTATTTTTATGGAGGATTTGAATATTTATATTCGAAAATTCGAAATTCGAAAAAAGGGTATTCATCAAATTTCGACTTGATTCATAGCTATTCAAATTTCTTATAAGCTGTACTCTACATTTATGGAGAATTTGAATATTTATATTCGAAAATTCGAAATTCGAAAAAAGGATATTCATCGAATTTCGACTTGATTCATTGCTATTCAAGTTTCTTATAAACTTTACTCTATTTTTATGGAGAATTTGAATATTTATATTTGAAAATTCGAAATTCGAAAAAAGGAGTATTCATCGAAATTCGGCTTGATTCATTGCTATTCAAATTTCTTATAAGCTCTACTCTATGTTTATGGAGAATTTGAATATGTATATTCGAAAATTCGAAATTCGAATTTCGACTTGATTCATGGCAATTCCAATTCCAACTTCTGGATAGTTCTGATCTACAATAAATAATTGTGAAGGCAGTGTAAATAAAAAGAGTGAGTGACATTTATTCTATTTACTTGCAATTTATGTATATATTCAAAGTATTTTTTTTGTTTTTGCTTAAAACTTTTTTTACACACTACATTAATTTTAAACATAATTAGAAATTTGTAATTCATTTCGTGTATTTAAGTACTTGCTTAAAATGAATAAACAATTTGAATTTGAACTTGAATTTCCAGACAAAATAACAAAACAAAAAGCGTTTTATCGATATACTTGTTCCGTATTTTTGATAGAAATTTTCCATTTTCCATTTTCTTGTTTTTTTTTTTTTTCTTCATTTATTAACATCATTTTCTTTGCCATTTTTTAAGCCAATTCAATATGCAAACCAATTCTTGTTTTTCGTATCGTAAATAATATTCAAATTGCAATTGATGTCATTTTCTGAGTACGTGGCATGCCTAGAGCATTATGTACTATATATATATATATATATATATATATGGTAGTTGGGCAACAAATCAAATCCGTCGAGAATTGGGGTTTTGCAAGAAGTAAAAGTTCAAGATCTTATTGGAGGTGTTTCTTTTATCTTTTTCTAGTCGATACAATTAGTATTTAGATACATATACACACAGATATATATACATGTATATATATATATATGCATGTATTGGTTTTATGAAAGAGAGACGTATGTAGGGGGTACGTTGCTATATTTATTAGTATGGTATTTGTTTTTAGCTTAGTTAGCGCTCTGAATATTGTAAGTATGTCAGTTACATTTATACAATTATGCAATTCGGTTTGGATTTGTTTTTATTTCTTTTGTTTTTTGTTGTTTTCCATTTAGTACATGTACATTAAATTGTTTATGTATTGTTTGTCCCTAGTTATGTAGTTAGTTGAATTGTTTGAAATTGTTTGTCACCATCCAATGTTTTATAATGTATTTTAATATGTTGTTCTATTCATAAATTTTTTAATCATTTTGTGTTTTTGTGTTTTTTTTTTTGTTTTTGTTTTTTAGTAACAATGTCCTTGACAGATATTTTGTTCACTTACTTGCATCGCTTATACTCGTTTGTATTTTTGTTTTTGATATTACTTAGGCACTGTGTTCGTATTACATTAAAAAATTAATTAAAAATTTAAATTTAGGTATGTATAAATACATTGTAAAAAATTTCATTAAGTTTACCGTAAACTAAAACCTTGCAACTCTCTCTCTCTCTCTCTCGCTCTCTCTTTCTCTTTCTCTTTCTCTCTATATGTATGTATGTATTTCTTTACTTTTTTCGTTTCGTTTCGTTTCTTATTTTTTTTTTGTATTTTCTTCATTTTGTTTATGTATGTATCTATGTATGTATGTAACTTGTCTGTCTCATTACATAATCAATGCATTTAACGCTGTACCAGGTTCGGTTCTAATGTTAATCTCTAAAAAGTACGAGTAGAAAAGTCTAGAAAAAGAAACCCAAAAAACATTTCATATAATATGTAGCTCTATATATATATATGTGTGTGTGTGTGTGTGCTGTGTGCTGTGTGTGCTGTGTATGTGTGTGTGTGTGTGTGTGATACGTAAAATCTTTAAGTTAACTAAATACATATTATTGCCCGCAGCTAACCCGAGTGTCCATACATTTTTTCACACAAGTGGCAACACTTAATGTCTAAAAACCGTTACATCTGGTTTATAAGTACATGCTATATGTAACTATATGTATGTGTGTGTGTGTGTGTGTCCGCAATAGTTGTGTGTGTCATACAAACTAACTGTTTTAGTTTACAGCTACAGTTACGGCTTAAAGTAATCACTTAGCCTGCCTTAAGTTTGCCATAATTAATGCTTAGATGTGACAAATAAAACAACTATATATGTATTTTAGTACCTAAATAACTTTAGTCGCGCCTTAGACGTTCCCACTATACATACATAGTTAACAGAAATTATGTGTATATAAGTGTGTGTGTGTGTGTGTGTGTGTGTGCTTGTCTGTGTGTGTGTGTGTGTGTGTGTGTGTGTGTGTGCTTGTCTGTGTGTGTGCTTGTCTGTGTGTGTGTGTGCTTGTCTGTGTGTGTGTGTGCTTGTCTGTGTGTGTGTGTGTGTGTGTGCTTGTCTGTGTGTGTGTGTGTGTGTGCTTGTCTGTGTGTGTGTATGTTTCTAACCATGCAAAGTGAACGAAAAGCTCTTCAAAAAGAACTCGAAACTTTACTGAATTCGACGAAAAACAAGAAATGCATCTGTATACGAGGTTGAAGATATACATATACATATGCATATATATATATATATATATATCGTCTTCTAACAATCGCCTCTTTCTAATGACAACAAAACAATATGCAAAGTAAAAGAAATAATTGAAATAAATTATTGGAAACATTTGTAATCCTTACACGAACTTATGTAGGTAGCCTATTCATCTGAGATTCTCTTATATATTTGCTTTGTTTTCATTTATTTGTATTAGGTTTTGGTATTACGAGTTAAGAGTTATAGTTTTTAAGCATTACTTGTTCATCTTATATTCTCCGCTTCATTTGTTGCATTTGTTAACAGTCTCAATTTTGGTTTTATTTTGGTTATTTTGCATAGTTTTTCTGTTTTTTTTTTCTCTTTGTTTTTTTCTTTTTGCTTCTATTATTATTTTTAAACTACATACAAATTAGTTTGTTTTACTATCGCTCGTTTTGCTTGGTTTATTTGTGTGTTTTGTTAAAATTACCATATATATGTTAGATACACATACATACCTTGTGTTTCGAATTAGTTTATGCTTAAAAACGAACCGAAGCCAAGTACAAAATCAAAAACAAAAATCACCAAATGCCAAACTATAAACAATTTCGACTTCTTATGCACTTAGATTCTCCATCAACATCATCGTCATCATCGTCATATCCTATTTGTTAAATTTTACGTTTTTATCTTAAATTGTTCTCTATGTTGTTTCTTTTTAACCTCAAACATAATGCCTCAAATAACAGTTTCAAGTAGTTACAAAAACAAGTACAAAGCATGCACACACAGTTGCCCCAGTTCTGGCCTGGATAACCGTGTGCTTTAAGTCTACATCTGTTACATCGTCTCTGTCATAATCTTATTGTTTTCATCATTATTTGTTTTGTTTTGTTTGGTTTGCCTTGCCTCTAAAAATTTAGTCGTTACAAAAGGTGTCTTAGGTGGAATCGTTTTGTCTTAGGAATTTAGCTTAGATTTCTGTTAAGTTCCTTATTTCAAATCATCATTTTAGTTAGTCTTAATAGGCTAATAAGAGTACAGTGAAACGAATTAGATGGTTTGGTTTTGGACATCAAAAAAAAAAGAATGGATGATACTTTTGTCATTGTATACAACACTTTTAGAAAAACCATCAGTTACTTAGCTTAACTATGATACCAGTCGAAATTGTAAACGAAATAACCATAACTATTATATTCAACTGACTTTAGCAGCTGCGATGTGTAAAACGGGTTGCTCGATCTTCTAAGTATATATCTTAATGATGATTTTTGTTGTCTCAGTTTTTCTTGCTTTGCTCGCAGTTTGCATTTTGGCGCATCGTTCGTAAGTATTAAGCTTAAATGTTAAATGTTATGTAGAATCATTTTTTTTTTATATATATATAGCTATTTCATTGTCAATTCTATTATGGTATATCGGCGAAACTTGACTTGGGCCTACATAACAGAGTTATCAATTCAACAATTTTCTCAAAACATCATTGACTTATTTTTTTGCTATCGAGAAACAAGCACATACTCAAAAACCAAAGCAAATTATAAATCCCAGCAAATCTCGGCTGGGAATACCCGATTCAAACTGCAAAAGAAAATAACAAAAAAAATTTGATATATATATATACATTATGTATATCCGATTCAACATCAATTTGACGAAGAAACTCAAGAACAAAACCAAATACACGAAATGACATCAAAAAACACAAATGCGAAGTCGAAAAAAAATAAAAATAAACAAACAGATCCAATATTATATGCGTGGACATAACCTTTTTTTTCTCTCTCTTAAACGGACAATATGCTTATAATATGTCACGCCTTAACGTATTTTTTTTTTTTTTTTTTTTTTGGTATTTCTGAAGTGAATTTTGCATAAAGTTAGCATTTGTTGAAAGTGCAACACTTCAAAGTTTGTTTGTTTTTTTTTTCTTTTTTGGTTTTTTTTTTTAGTACAATATTTAGATTTATTTTCATTTACTGTTAAATTGATATATTTATGCATATATTTAATGTAAGTATATATAATATATATTTATATATATAATTGTATATAGTAGTTGTAATTACGTTTAGATGCATATATATGTAGTTCATTTAATAGGTTTTTATTTTAAAAATGTTTAACTCTTTAAATCATAAATCGTATGGATTAAAAATGAAATTTGTTTTACAATTAACAGTCAGTGTTTTTTTTTTTTGTTTTCGTTTTTTTTTGTTTCTTGCTTTACGTTTACATTTTCCATTACTTTAATTCTTGCTTTAACTATTTATGTGTATTTCCTTGAATTAGTTATTAATTATAGCATTACTTATTTCAAATTGTTAAACATCACTTCTTTATTTTATTTTTTGTTTTTTTTTTTTAATTTTTATTTTAACTGTTGCTGCATGCAAAAAAAAAGGAGCTCGGTAATAAACAAAAGATATTTGTAGATATATAGATGTAAGTATGCAATTATCATAATCATAATAATAATAATAATAAGGTCTTGCTTATAAAATTACATCAGGTTTTTTTTTTTTTTTTTGCTATTTTTGTTGTTTAACTGCATTTTTTGACCAACACGATTTGCCTTCATTCAATTGGTTGTTTTCTTGTTGTTGTCTGCGCTTTCTGCTTGTTCTTGCATGTTTTACAAACACACGCACATATATATATATTCATAAATATACACATGTATGCATGCATGTGCATATATAACCGTTAAATGTCTACGTTAAGCCTGATACGTTGTTGTTGTTGTACAGCAGCATTTTGCTTGCATAACTGCTGTTGCTGCTGCTGCTGTTGTTGTTATTGTTGTTGTTGCTCGCTTGCTGCCTGCTGGAAAAAACACAGAAATTACAGAGAAAAAAAAAATTACAAGCGGAAATGGATCGAAACTTCTTTCGCTCTACTGTGAACATCATCATCTACGCCACGTGTGCGTCCTCCTGGCCAAGCGCAGTGTTTTTTTTTTGTTTTTGTTTTTTTTTTTTATACAACAATACAATTAGACATGTACAATTTACACACACAGAGAAACAATCTCGCACAAACACACACACGAAGGTCAGCGCACAGAGCTGCACGTGTTTTAAATTAAAGGAAAACAAAAGCAAATTTTTTGTTGGTATCTTTTTTTTTTTTTCAAAATTTTCAAACGTTTTTCATACGTTCCACTTTACTTTGTTGTTCTCTTCTTTCTTTTTTAAATTTTACTGTGTATTTTACGTTAGTTTTGTTTGTTATTGTTTTTTTTTTAGTGTATAATTATATAAAAAATTTAAGCATATGTTTATATGTATATTTGTAATTTAAACGAAATTAAATTAGGAATTTATGATTGTAGGATTTGTTTGCTAAGTAGATTTGTAAAAATTAGACGAAAAAAACACTATGCAATAAATCACCGAAAAATAAAGTAAGGTATATATGTATGTAGTATGTAGTATGTATGTATGTATGTATATTGTAATTGTAAATGTTCGCGTAATCAACAAATTAAAAATTACGTTTTTGTAGTTTGTAGTTGTAATAGCAAAAAATATTACTTCATATTCATATTTATATGTAAGTGTATAAATGTATCTATTAGCGTATATAAGCATATGCATATACATATACATATATATATATATATATATAAATATAAATACATATATGTACGTAAGGTTTTTGTAATATGTAATAATAAATTGTAAAATCGCAATTATTTAAAAATTAGTTTACTTTTTGTTTGTTGTTTTTGTTGTTGTTGTTGTTCTTGTTTACATAACACATTCAGATGATCATGTTTGTAATTAAGAGTAAATAATATATAAAGTAATTAAAGATATATATATGTATGTATATAATCAATAAAATATGCAATTCTCATGTTCATCTCCTCCGCGTGTGTGTGTATGTACGTGAGTGAGGTTGTGTGTGTGTGTGTATGTGGGTGCGTGTTACAGCTTGTGAATACACACGCACACACGCACACATTCTAATTGTTGTTGTTGTCTGCTTGGCAAACGATGAAAATTTCAAAAATGTGCAACGCAACTCTAAGCATCGTTTTTCTTTTTGCTGTTGTTGTTGTTTTTATCCCTCTTTCTCTCTCTTTATCTATTTTCTCTTATGACTTTTCTTCTCTAATCTGCTTTAACTGTAGTTTAAGTTTACGTGTTGTTTCGTTTAAATTTATGTATATTATGTATATATATAATTATTTATATATATATAGAGATGTATATAAGTATGTATATAGTTTTTTTTTTGTTGTTAAATGTATATTTGTTTAGAGCGTTTCGTATTTTGTGATTTTTTGTTGTTTTTATAGCATTTTCATCATAAATCATCTTGTATCTGGTTGTTTTGCGATTCTCTCATCTGGTTTCTTTAACTAAATAATAATTCCAACACTATATAATTCTAGTTTCAAGTTCAACTTTCGCTTACATGCAAACGACATACGACATACGCTTATTAATTAGGTTTCTTTATATATGTAGTTTAACTTTTAGCTAGTTGTTTACTTTACTTTTAAATGGTAAATTTATAAATTTTGTAACGTGTGTTTCTTCTTCATCGGCGCCAAACATCCCAAACATATGTGTTGATGTCTCCATGCCAGGCCCCGGCTCTAGCCCGGAAAATCTCAGCAAACACTTTAGCTAAGGCAAGCATTTTCACAAGGTTCTCTAACTGAATTGTTGTTGTTGTTGTTGTAATTATTCATTTTCCTTTGTGGTCTCTGCTACGCCTTGTCGCCAAAATGTTTGCAATTAATTCGAGCTGGGGGCGCGGCATGTGGGCGTGGCACGATTATCTTTTTCCATTTCCATTGTTTCCTTTCTTTTTTGTTTGATTTTTTTTTTAGTTTTTTTTTTTTGTTTTTTGTGTTTTTGTTGCCAACTAGTCGTGGGGTTTTTACGCTTTAAATGTACAGTTTCGAATTGGTATTTACTAATTTTAGTAGTTAAGGGATGTGTTTGTTTTGTTTTGTTTTTTAAAGTATAATTTCTTATAATTCCTTTTTAATGTTATTCTTTTGTTGGTATTTCGTACACTTTTCTCTTGTGTCTAATTGGCTAAACTTTATACTTTTAAATCTTCACAATTCTATTATTTTGTTTTCGTATTTAATATGCATGTATATGTGGTTTTAGTTGGACTGTTGTTGTTGTTGTTCTTGTTGTTAGTTAGGTAGGACTTACATATATATATCTATATATATATATATATATACATATATGTATATTTATGTGTCTGACGAGGAAGGGAGGGCGCATGAAAAATGTTCTTGTTGCTCTGAGTCGAGAGTGTTGACTGTGGTTTTTGTTGCCTATAAATTTTTACATACTCATTGCTATAGAATGTATATATATATATATAAACGTATATATACATATATATTTTCCTTTTATACATATACTATCTATATATATATATATATATATTAGTCTATAAATCTGCCTTGTTTCGCTAGGGATTTGCATTCAAGCTGATTTCCGTGTTTGTGTTTGTTTCTTTGTTTGTTTGCGTGTGTGTGTTAAATTATGCTTTTAAATTATTTGCTGTGTACACAAGAGTTACATTAATTAATTTCAACAAGTGATCGATCTCAAATAAAAAATATCTTTTAAAAATTATGAAACGAACAGACGACGCTTTAGCTTACAATTACCACCATCTTTTTGTCTTCTTCATCATTCACCTCATGGGGCCACGCGGGATGACACGAGACGACAACACGCACGATCTGGCTTTTTAGACGGCCTGCGAGGCGGCATACGGAGGCTGTGTAGAGCTGTCGTTGCCGTACGCTGACCGCGGGCCGGCGCCGTAGTTGGAGGCGCCCTCCTGCTTAACATAATTGCTATAATCGTAATCGTAGCCGGATCCATAGCCGCCATAATCGTACTCGGAGCCCGATTTGGAGGCCGAGTTGCCTGGTCCAGTGCGCGGCATGCCGCCCACGGGTCCGGTGGTCGATGGTCCGCCAGCTGCCCAGGTCTGGGCACGCGAATACATGTCCGTGGCGGTGCCAGCGCCAGCACCCGGTGCCCCAGTTGGCCCAGCTGAATTTGGTGGCATATTCCACGTGTTCCAGCTGCCGCCGCCCGAAGGTCCCGATGGGGCTCCGGTCGAAGTCGAGTTGTACATATCGTAGCCGCCATATCCCTGGGTCTGCTGTGGTCCAGCATAGTTCGACCATTGCGGTGGTGGTCCTTGGGGGCCAGGTGGTGCGCCCCAGCCCTGATACGAGCCCGGACCGCTATTGCCATAACCATAGCCCTGCTGCTGAGGCGATGTGCCCCAGCCCTGATAACCGGGCATCATGTTTGGTGCACCAATTGGCATATTCAATGGTGGGCCACCCATCTGACCGTTCTGGCCTTGCATCATGTTAATGGGCGCATGATGCGGTCCCCAGTGGCTGCACTCGTTACCCAGTTTACCATAGGCACCACCCACGGCACTGTTGTTCGAGTTCTGTCCTCCGGAACCATCGCGTGGCTCCGCTTTCTTAATTTCCACCTGCAAAACATACACAAAGTTATATTAAAACATATTCAAGCATAGTTTTATATACATATTATACATTATAGTATAGGTATAATTTTAAATTATATTTGATAATTTACTCACTAGTTGATTTATTAAAATATATATTTGTTTTATTGAACTTTTCATTCAAGTTTCACTTAATATGAACGCAATTTTATCGACTTAAATACTTTTCCAGAATCAATACAGCGGTGTCTTCACTTTTTGTATAGTTTTTCAGTTCTCGACATATTTTCATGGCACAGAACGTGCTTCTACGTCAAAACATGGGAAAAAATAGTTCGAATTCAAAGCAATATGCCAAAAGTTAAGCAGTTTCGTTAAAGGAACTCTCGTGCTTAATGAACTCTTCTACACGCATATAACATATATATATTGGATAAAGCTGAGCACAGCAGACAATTTTAAGTTTCATTGTCAATTGATCATTCCTTCATTGTATTATTTGTCGTAAGTTACATACAAAAAAGATAGGTTTTCTTATGACAACCTCATCTTTTTCTGTGATACCTAACTATAATTTATGTTTTATTTTGAATTCGATTAAATGTTAAATCATTAAATATCTATTTTTGTGGCTGAGTTTACGCACCTGCTTGCCATTTAGATTAATGTAACGCTCGTTGGTGACATGCTCCACAGAGGACTCCTCCTCAAAGGACAAGAAACCAAATCCACGTGATTTCTTCTTCTCCTGGTCGTACATGATGACCACCTCGGTGACCTTGCCGTAGCGACCAAAGAAGGTGCGCAGATCGGTCTCCGTCACGTTCGATGGCAAACCGCCGAGGAACACCTTGTAGCCGCCGCCCTTTTTCGGCTTCTGCAGCGTACGGGGATTGCAGGGCTTCGGGTCGATGGTACGACCGTCAAGCGTATGCGGTCCACTCTGCAGCACATGGTTGACGTTAGCGGGATCGGCGAAGGTGACAAAGCCGAATCCACGTGATCTGCCGCTCTCGTTATTCTTCATAACGACACAATCAATAATGTCGCCGAAGCGGCAAAAGTAGCGCGAGAGATTCTCCTGCGTTGTCTCCCAGGACAGGCCGCCAACAAACAGTTTGCCCCTCTCGTCTTCTTCCATGATGTTGTTTTGGTGATTGTGAGCTATTGCGCCGGGTAGGTTTTCAATAATTGACGTAATTTTGCTGCTGTTTATGTTGCACTTGTGGACTTGAAATTGTTGTCGGTGTCTGTTTTGGGTTTTTGTCGCTTCTTGTTAACACTTTGAATTTTACACTAGTTGCTGTTGTTGTTTCTTGTGTTTTGGGATTGGTTTAAGTTGCCAAAGTTTTTTTTTTATTTTTATTTTTTTTATTTTTATTATTTTTCAAAATAATTAAACAAAAGCCACGACGTTTACACGTAACTTTCTAATTATTATTAAAGATGTCCAGGTGTCGGTTGTAGCAAAAGTCATGAAAAATATTTTATGCGTAAAGAAAAAAATGCAAATCGTCAGATCAGTAAAAAGAAATATCAACAGTTAAAAGTAAATCTTAACTAACTCTGGCCACATTGGACGAGAGAACGGATGACAGCAATAAAACAGAGAGAGAGAGAGAGACACACGCACGCACATACACCTATGTACCTTATGTATATGTACAGAAAGCAACCGAAATAGGCACAAATAATTATGAAAGGCAGGTAAGCAGCGCTGTGGACAGCAACCGGCCGGTACGCATGCATACATACATATGTTGTATGAATGCATAGGTCTACTCTACTCTTACTGTCTAACTGCTTTTTCTACACGTTCACAAGTTGTTCGGTGTTTGCAACGCTCTGCTTGCTCTTGTGGTCTTAAGCCGCGCTGGTCGTTGATTGCCGTTTTGTATTTTTTACACTCTGCTACGAGTTTTTATTAACGATTTCTTTTCGCTGTGTAACAACATGCGCTAACGTTGTTGGCGTAGCGATGTCCCAGCCACAGCGTCATTCATTTCACACACACACGCACACACCACAAGTGCCTATCGAAGAGTCGTGAGAACAACGAACTTTTTTTCCCAAGGTAAAAATGGTGAAAACAGAATGTCGGACGGAAGGGCAAGCAGAAAGCAAAGTGCCGGTTCCCCACATTTGCGCGCCATTTATTGTATATTGCCAGACGGTTTTTGGGTAACCGGAAAAACGAGTGCACATAATTTTAAGAATTGATTTGTTCTCGTACATTTAGATATTTTATGCAAGATATTATTTGAAGACAACAAATTATGCGTAAATTATTACGGCGCTTGCGGGACTGTAGGTATATGCGTACGTTTGCAAAGAAAACCATGTGGCAACGCCATGTGCTATGTGAAAGCGAATGTAAAATGAAAAGAGATATGCGAAAAGCAATGCCCTCCAAATGTACATATGAACAAATATACGCTTGATAAATCAACACAAATCACAAATTTTAGAACCAACACGTTTAGAAGTTTTACAATTTATGCTATTGTTACGCGTCAATTATGGGTAATTGCAAGAACTCAAAACAAACGCAGTGAATTGCATGAAATGCGAGAAATTCACCACGAGCAGAAGCAGCGACGGTGGCGGCGCGACGGCAGCAAAATAAAAAACAAAATGGAAGACTCGTCGATGACGACAAAAATGCTTCAACAAAGAAATCTGAAGAACTCAATTTGTAAAACGCAAACACGAGTAATATGAATTGAAGAGAAACTTTGCCACATAAACTATTTTATGGTATTTTTGATTTTATTAATCTTTTTGAGCTAGTTGCACCCATTTGACCGGCGAATACCGCGCACATTTTACACTAGTATTTTGCACATTTCCAAAGTTCGGATAAACTAGTGCATTTTCTTACTACGCAATTTTAAAATTTCGCATGATATTTGTATTTTGCACCGCAATCTTTTATACATACATACGCAACTACGCTTACAAGCACACGTGTCTATGTGTGCGTTTTGTATTAATGTGTGTGTATGCGAATGGCCGATGTATCTTGTGTGTATGTATGTGTTAGTATCCTGTTATACATAGCATTTTTTGTATGTATAAAAATATGAAATTTTCCACTATAATAGGAAAATGAAAACTAAAATATTTTAATGGCCATAAACAGGCATAAATAAACATCTTAACATCAGATGCAAAACATTTCTTCAGTGTTAGCCGCGTCAAAAACTCACATATCAAATCTGTTTTGTACACCAGGCAGCTGCTGCTGTCGTACATTTAATTTTGGAAAGGCAGGCAGACTTCGTTTTTTTTTAAGCATCAAGTTCGTTATGTAAAATGTATATTTGCATTGTTGCTTATGCTTACCGTTTGTGCCAAGTGTTCGTCTGTGGTTTTTTAAGATTTCGCACTGCAAATTCACTAAATTTAAGTGTTTTTTCCTTAAAAAACTAGCTTATAAATAATTGTATGATTTGATGCATACGATATATAACCTAACTTATGATAGAAAACTCGCCACCGCCACGTTTAATGGTGGTAGCCATTCACAATTCACCGCGACACTCTTGTAATCGGTAGTGCACGGTTGTATTTTTCAGGCATCAATCAAGGCGTCAGGGATGCAACTGCACATTGCTTTGTATATATAACAGACTTTGCACAATAAAAGCCTGAGCAAAGAAACAATATTTGAAGTGATCGAAATAATTATCTTTGCTGTCTTCAAATTGCGCTTGCAGCCCTGATAACTTTCATATGATTCAGGTGAATTCACAACTAAGCAAATTATGTATATTTGAAAAATCTATGTCGACGAGACTCCGTTTATTAATTTTAACCTGTAAAGAAAGTAGGCTTAAAGAAAAATCGTCAAATGCGAAACAAAAAGTTGGTCGGCTACGAAGTATCGATAGTGAGTAAACTCACCTCACTAGAAAACAATTATCTATGATGGTTATGGTCACACTAATTGGGGACTGGTTCAATTATTGTTTACATTTTTTTTTTTTGCATTGAACAGAAAAGAACTTTTAAACCAGTTGTTCATTTAGTGAGCAACTCTGTTTGGTTCACTCACCTAACCATTGTGCGAGTCGGCAAAAACAGTTTTGCCGAAATAAATATAGTGCCTAAATAACAAAAAGTCAAAGATATATACATCAAGTAATGAGAAGCTATCATCATTTCGATTAACCGAATGCACTTTTGACAAGGGCAACTAACGCGAAACTTTTGCACTCAAATCGATTTTTTCTGCGCTACTTGCGATTTTCATAGCGCCCAACCAACAAACCCAAGCTAGAAAATGTCGCGGCATCCTAGCGACCGGAAAGTGTATGTTGGCGATTTGGGCAATAACGCACGAAAGAACGATTTGGAGTATGTGTTTGGTGCCTATGGAAGTTTGCGTAGTGTTTGGATTGCACGCAATCCGCCAGGTTTCGCATTTGTAGAGTTTGAGAGCGCCAGAGATGCAGCTGATGCAGTGCGTGGCCTGGACGGACGAACATTGTGCGGCCGCAGAGCTCGTGTCGAGCTGTCCACAGGAAAATACGCTCGTTCGGGTGGTGGTGGCGGCGGAGGTGGAGGAGGCGGTGGCGGCGGTGGTGGTGGTGGTTTTGGAGGAGGACGTGATCGAGGCGGCGGTCGTAGCGATGATAAGTGCTATGAATGCGGGATGCGTGGTCATTTTGCGCGCCATTGCCGCGAGCGCAAGGCTAGACAACGACGCAGGTTAGTGAGCAATTTCATTCATAATTTTGTGTTGCATGCATACGTATACACACACATACATCTATGTGCATGGAATTTGCATATCAAATTTAAAATTGTTTTGAGCGTGGGGAGTTTCGTTGTGTTGAATTACCGCGAGTGCGTACACACCCTGATGTAAAAAATGCGCGCGAATTATTCAGTACAATAGTTCGGCAAGGTGATGGTCGAAACTATCGTATATTTAATGTTTGATAAATTAACGCCTATATAGGCTAACCAATTTGTGATATGAAGTGAAAAATATATAACCCCTTCTGTTTGTAAATAAAAACCGCAAAGTTCAACTCTTCAGATATGCATTATCCCGTGATACAATGATTTGTCGAACTTATCGATAGCTGCGTTGGTTATCGTTATTTTCTTATGCAAGAGCAACACTGACACAAGCACACGCACGTGTTTGTGGGCCTCATTTTGGATTTTTCTTTTACACGCGGCGTTAGACTGAAGAAGGTTAAGTCCGTGTTTGTTGCGGGACAAAAAATATTTTTGACTTAAATTGATGCATTTTCACGTGCACAATGTTTGTGTTATATGAAACGCCGGCGGGCTACGCAATTTTCAAATTGCTCGATGAAAAAAAACTTGAGCAGGTCGATAATTTGTACCTGGAGTTTGAGACTCCCGAGAAGGCCAACAAATTGCTGAAATTGAAGCATTTTGAAAAATTCAATGATACCACAGAAGCACTATCTGCTGCCACAGCTGCTGTTGAAGGCAAAGTGTCAAAGCCGTTGAAGAAGACGCTGAAAAAGCTGCTCGTCGACGACGTACAGGCATCCCTCCTGGTGGCCGATGCCAAACTGGGTACAGCCATCAAGGATAAGTTGGCGGTGCAGTGTGTATATAATACGGGCGTGCAGGAGCTAATGCGATGCATACGCCAGCAGGCAGACAGCTTGCTGGGTGGCCTGCCCAAGCGCGAGATGACCGCCATGGCCTTGGGATTGGCACATTCGCTCTCCCGCTACAAGCTGAAGTTCTCGCCGGACAAGATTGACACAATGATTGTGCAGGCGCAGTGCCTGCTCGATGACCTCGATAAGGAGCTAAACAATTATGTGATGCGCGCCCGCGAGTGGTATGGCTGGCACTTCCCAGAGCTGGGCAAGCTGATCACAGACAATATTGCCTTTGTCAAGACGATCAAACTGGTGGGCACCAGGGACAATATGGCTGCAACGGACTTGTCTGACATTCTGCCCGAGGATGTGGAGCAGCAGGTCAAGGAGGCGGCCGAAATTTCCATGGGTACCGAAATCAGCGATGAGGATGTGCTTAACATCCAATGCTTATGCGATGAGATCATTTCCATCAGCGACTACCGGACGCATCTCTATGACTACCTTAAGGCGCGCATGATGGCAATGGCGCCCAATTTGACAGTCCTGGTTGGCGACACGGTTGGCGCTCGTCTCATTGCGCACGCCGGCTCGCTGATTAATCTTGCCAAACATCCCTCGTCCACGGTGCAGATATTGGGCGCCGAGAAGGCTCTCTTCCGCGCGCTGAAAACAAAGAAAGATACGCCCAAATATGGTCTTATCTATCATGCCCAGCTGGTGGGCCAGGCGAGTCAAAAGAACAAGGGCAAAATGTCGCGTTCCCTGGCGGCAAAAGCCTCGCTGGCCACGCGCGTTGATGCCTTCGGTGAGGAAGCCTCATTCGAACTGGGCGCCACACACAAAGTGAAGCTGGAAGCGCGTTTGCGGCTGCTGGAGGAGGGAAATCTGCGCAAATTGTCCGGCACGGGCAAGGCCAAGGCCAAGTTCGAGAAGTACCAGGCCAAGAGGTGTGTTATGGTTCTACGCTCCAATTGCCCCATTTTAGTTCAAGTAAAAAAACTCTACATGATGATACCACAAAGGTTTCGCAATTTGCTGATTCCACAGTGACGATAAACCTTGGCTGTCTGATTGAGTTTCCAACTTGTCTAATTTGTTGGCCAGCTTCTTAGCTCGGTACACATGTACTCATTTAACATTTTCCATTTTAGCGAGGTGTTTACGTATCAGCCGGAGGCCGATAACACATTGCATGTGAAGAAACGCAAACATTCAGAAGTTGAAACGCCCGTCAAGCAGGAAACAGTGAAACAGGAGCCGGAGCAGGAGGAAGCTGTCGCTGACGAGTCGGAGACTAAAGTTGAAAAGAAAAAGAAGAAGAAGAAGAAGCAAAAGGATGAAGAGGCATCAGAAGCAGTCGAGGCGCCGCCAGCAGAGGCCGAAGAGGAAACGCCAGCGCAGCCTCCAAAGAAAAAGAAGAAATCAAAACATCAAGAATAATAAGCACTTACAATGGGGCTTATTAATAGTGCTTAGGTTTATAGTTCTTATTAGCAGTATATAGTTTTACAGTCAAGATTACACTTTTATTTGTTGTCTACTACATTAGAAATAAAAAATGTAATTTTCAAGGCAGAAATCAAACAATTTGACTTATTTCCCATAGAAGTTTGAACTGTGTTCTGATAAAAGATCGATCCCAATTTCTGGAAGTCTTTTGTCACACAAAACAATTTAACAATTTCTTTAAGTGGGACCCAGTCGCTAAGCATAAATAACTCAGCCCCCAATCATGGCATTTATTGAAGCATAATTGATCAATTTCATTTTTGAGCTGTGCTCGAATGTAGCCTGCATCTTGTACTATATGAAAATATTTATAAGTTCGAATATTTTCAGCACAGCCGGCATAGATTAATCAAAAAAATGTATTTTACTTAAATGATAAATGTAACATTTAACTACAAACTGCGTTCGGGAATGTGAAAAGCCAGGAAAACAAGCCGAGTCTCCAGGCAACAACTACCGACAGTTTCTTATGGGTTTGCAATCCTCGGCCTGATAACTAGTTCTTATGTCGATATACAAAATTTGTACTTTTCACTTTTTAAGCCCTTACAGGAATGTATAAGACAAGGAAGTATTTCGATCCTCCTTCTGATAAGGAAGATGCGCTGAGTTATTGTCAAATTCATTTGTCTGCTTGTTTCTACAAATTATTCCTTCTGTTTTTAAAATATAAACTCGTGAAAGAGAAGACTGTATGATAGCTGCCTTAGGTTTGTTTGTTTCTCAAGATATCTTAACCAAAGCGGGTAATTGCAAGCTTCACTGTACTTCTAACCTAGGCTAAAACAGGCTTCATTGATTAACCATATCATATAGACCCTATAGGGATAATTATTTATTAGAACTATCTAAATATAAGGTATTGCGAATAGCTTTCGAGCTAATATCTTTGAATTTCTTTAGTTGAAACTTCGCAAAGCGAAATAATATTGTTGCAATGCCAGCTTTTTGGTCCACTGTGTTAAATGGGTAAAAGTTCGATTACGACCAAAAGCCTAAAAAAGTGCTTAAGTGCGCGATCAAGCAGAAAATTTACATCAGTCGCCGGTCGAAAAAGATGTCTTGCATCACTCGAGTCGAGTCTGCGGATTTTGCGGTGAGTTGGACCAATCTGTATCCAATATAAAAGCGCACCAGATGCCTGACCAGAGCGCTCAGTTAGACAGAATGAGGGGACAGCTGAAGTTGCTGTTGGTCTTGGGCCTGTTGCTCACATACGCGGCGGCCAAAAAGAAGGAGGCCTCCTCCGAGGAGGAGGAAGAGGCTGGCGAGAAGCATGAGAAGAAGAAATATGGCAATGAAGAGCACAAAGGGGAGCATGGTCACAAGGAGCACAAGGAGTGGGACGAGGAGGAAAAGAAACATCACGAGGAGGAGGATCACGAGCA